AGTAGTAGTAGTGGTAGTACAAGTAGAGGTAAAAGTAAAAGTAAAAGTAGTAGCAGTCGTAGTAGTAGTAGCAGTAGTAGTAGTGGTAGTCGCAGTAGCAGTAGCAGTAGCAGCAGTAGTAGTAGTAGTAGTAGTAGTTGTAGTAGTAGTAGTAGTAGTAGTAGTGGTAGTAGTAGTAGTGGTAAGGGAGGACGAGGAGGCAGAGAACCACGAGTAATAGTAGGAGAAGGAGGACTGGTAGCAGGGCCGAAGTAGCAGCAGTTCGTACATAGTCGAAACCTGCCTGCATCGTCATTCTCCATTAGCCACACTCACGACAAGAAGACAGTAGAAGGCCGTGAACAGATACACGAGTGCAACAGCCGAGCTAGGAGTGTTGTTCTTGTGACGCTACCTAAACCCGCAGCCCTCAACCCTAAACAAACCTCAGACCAAAACAGTAAACACCTTGAACTTAGCCTTGAATCCTTAAGCCTCAACCCTGAACCCTGAAAGTTGAACGTCTCCATTCCCCGCCTATCGCGGCCGCCACGGTCGTCACCCCGACGCTCCCCTTCCAATCGTGCGGCTTTCTTCAGTGCTGGAGGAGCTTCGCAAAACGCGCCCTAAACCTTGGGCTCTAAGGCTTGTATGGCATAACTCCTAAGCCGTAAGGCCGTAGGTCCTAAACTCCTGCGTTTCCAGCCCCATGGCCCCTGTTTGATTCCCATGTTCGTGGGCTGCATGGATGCTAAAGCCCTAAGAACCTTGAAGCTTTTTGTGGGCATAAGCAAAACCTCTTCCTGCACCTTCGTGGACATAGGCAGAAATGGTCCTTATTCTGAGCCCTTCGTGGGCTAAACCACAACACCGTATCCTGACACCTTAGCGGACACAGGCAAAACCGTATCCTGCACCCCTCATCGGCCTAAGCCCTAAACCCCAAACCCTAAACCCCAAACCCTCTCAGAATGCAGGCCTTTCCTGAACCAAATGCTCGGGTCGGGGTTAACCTTTGCCGAAAGCCCGATATGACACTCGAGAATGACTGAGCTTAACTACGGGACGGCTAAGTGCTTAAGAATGCTATGCCAAGGGCAATCATCTCAGTTCGACGCGTGTCGAAACAAGGATGAACCCTAAACCCTAAACCCTAAACCGTGCACGGGCCTCCCGCGAGCTCTGCCGAGGCTCTGCCTGCAAGTCCATGAACTTTGCCCTATGCGTCCTTGCACAGCTTGCCCTGCGACACGCCCCTTGGTCTCGGACTTGCTCAGAGACTGCAATATCCCTTAAATTAAGGAATATATCCCTAAATTATAGTAGGATCCCCTAGTATGATATTCCTTAATTAAGGGATATTGGAGTCTCTGGTTGTGCAAAGAGGCGAGTGTTCTGCAAGCCCGTGCCGAGTCGAAGGTCATTCTCGGTGCGAAGCTGATGTTGCAGGCTCCGTATCTCGCACTTCTGCTTATCGAAGGTGTCCTGAATCTTGTCCACGACTCATTCAAGCTCCAGGAAAACCTTCAGTACGCCCTGCAAACCTTCTTCCTTCTGGTCGTGCTGGTCTTGCAGGGCTTGAGTTCTCTATAACAGAGCCTGTCGGATAGCCTCTCTAAGCCCTAAGCCCTAAAACCTATAGACCCTAAACCCTAAACCCTAAACCCTAAACCCTAGACCCTAAACCCTGAGTCCTGCCCTCTTCGCTGATGCTTTTTTTCTTCGGCGACCGCTTCTTTCGGTCGCCGCGCGCTCGCCTTGCTTGGCATCTTGGCCTTGCTTGATTCGAGCGATAGCCTTGCTGCCACTCCCAGAGAACCCCATATCCTCAATTAAGGAATATACCTTAAATTAGGGTTTAGGGTTTAGGGTTTAGGGTTTAGGGCTTAGGGCCTTAATATGATGATTTAAGGTACATTCCTTAATTAAGGGGTATTGGTTCTCTGGGCTCTCCCTGGCCATCCCACCACTCTTCCTGGCCATCCCAGGCCGTTCCCACGTAGGTGATGCATATTGTTGATGGACAAAATCCTGCATGACCTTAAGGACCTTAAACTATGGGAATTATGGTATATTCCTTATAATGGGTAATGCAGGATTTTGTCCATCAACAGTATGTGTTATAATGTGCCCGTGACGTCTACAATGTGCTATGATGCACACGAGAGCTTGATGCCATCTAAAGTGTAAACCTCCCACCTGGTGTGCGCCGACCAGTTGCCACATATTACAGTACCACCTTTGTCGGTTCCAGGTGTGTCGGCATGATTGGGGACTAGACTGGTGTAGCATGATACAGTAGGACATCGTATGACACAGAATGATATAAAATCATTTCGTAAAGTGTAGTAAACCCTAGTTTTACAGAAGCTTTGGGACCGAGGCTGCTCTGGGGGGTTCAAGGCCAGCCAGTGCGTCAGAAGAACCCGCCCAAACAATCAGAGAAGATGCAGGTTTAGGGCTTAGGGCCTTTGGTTTAGGGTTTAGGGTTTTATAATGGGTAGTTCTCCAAATTAGGGTCCTTTTGAGGGTCCCAAAAAGAGATCCGAATTTAGAGACCCACCCATAAAAGTGTTCGTTGTCAGAAATAGCCTACGACTTCAACAACTCCCAGTCGACTTTAAACAAGCTTGTCCACAAAAACGGCTGAACAGAAAACTTCTTTATCCACAAAAAGAGCTGAACCGACCCCTTGTTAGTTTCAAGCTTATCCACGAAGAAGGCTGAGCCGAGAGCTTGTGGGGTTCTAGCTTGTCCACCCCAGACATCCCCATACTATATCGTACCATGTCATTCTATATCATACTATGTTACACTATACTTTTCTATGTTATACGGAAGTTATGCTCTACTATATTAATATAGCCCATGGACCCATGTGCTGACATAAGCCCTTACCTCATAGCCCGAATATCCGGAGCCCTGAACCTTACGACCTCAACAGGAAACATATCAACCCTAAAACCGCTGCAAAACACATAAAACCCGATACATCTCGCAGCCCTAAGAATAAACCCCTGAACCCCACCCCAAACCCTAAGCCGTAACCCTAAACCCTAAACCCTAAACCCTAACTCCATGGCCGCCTCTGCCCCCGCCGCCACCGCGGCGATCTCCGCCCCTTGGGTCACCGGGCCGTCCGCCTGCTGCCAGCGGCTTTCTTCTTTTTAGCGCCTGTCTCCTTCTTCGCTATTCGGTGAGACACAGTTTAGGGTTTAGGCGTTATAGGGTTTAGGGTTTAGGGCTTTGGGTTTACGGATAGGGTTTAGGGTTTAGGCTTTNNAGGGCTTAGGGTTTTGGGGTTTGGAGGAAAAAGCGGCAGCTTGACCCCTTGCACATCCGACCACTCATCATTCGCTCAGCTCCCTCCGCCATGCCCCCGAAAGTGTCTGTGTCGCTGTGGGGTTTAGGGTTTAGGGTT